AAAAAAAAAAAAAAAAAAAAAAAGTAAGTGCATTGCATAAAAAAAATACGAGATACTTCGCCTTGGCTAATTTCGTCAATAGAATTGAAAAGAATTGGTACCTTTCAACAATCTGACCAAAAGCCCAGCTCATTTCTAGCGAAGCACGTGGCCATACTTAAAAAGATGTGCTTTGTGAATTACTCATTTGTCCTTGATGTTGCTTCTTGTGCTTCTTATGAAAGGTTTTAGGAAAATTATACGACACATCAAATATTTATACTGTATTTACTATTCGTAGTTATATTTGAATTTTATAGCAAATTTATAAAATTTTAGATAAATTGGTTTGAACTGAAATAAGAAAGCAACAATGTCTCATAGCTAAGTTGGTTAGAGCGCTTGCTCAGCTACTGGAGGTCTTGAGTTTGAGTCTTAAACAAGAACATATTATTTTTCTGTATTTCGCCTTAGTTGTATTTGTTGCGCAAACAAATACAGTCGATACAAGTACAAATGAATACAATTGCGCGTTGCACGAATGAATACAATTGGTTAGAGCGCTTGCTCAGCTATCGGAGGTCTTGAGTTCGAGTCTTAAACAAACACATATTATTTTTTTGTATTTTGCCTTAGTTGTATTCGTTGCGCGAACAAATACAGTCGATACAGGTACGAATGAATACAATTGCGCGCTGCACGAATGAATACAATTGTGCGAACAAATACAGTTAATACAGGTTGTATTCGTTGCGCGAACGAATACAATTGACACAAGTTGTATTCGTTGCTCAAGTTAGTAGCAATTGAACAGTAGCTACAAATGATAATCAAGTAAATTATAATTATTAGGCTCTAAACTATAGTGGTTATAAAAATTCCTCAAGCTTTTATGTGTAGTTTCGAAAGGCAACCGCAAGCCACTGATGTTTTCTCCATATTTCTATTTCAGAGGTTAATCATATGTGTTTGGAGATTGTGTTTGTTGTTTTTGTGTCTTTGTTCCATTCTTTCTAGGAGAAATGCCTTAAATTTTCAACATAATTGGTGAAAGTAACATAAATTAACTACTTCGATCCATGTGTTATTTTAGGCTCATAAAATTAATTTTTTTGTAAAAAGCAAAAAGGTTTGATCGAAGTTGTATACGGTAAAAATTAGAAGGCCCGATTTTATGACCCCCTGTAGTCAATGCACATTCTCATAGTGCCATCCTTCTTCTACACAAATAGAACCGGTGCACCCCACGGTGACACACTAGGCCGAATGAACCCCTTATCTAGGAGTTCCTGAAGCTGATCCTTCAATTCTTTCAACTCCGCTGGTGCCATGCGGTATGGCGGAATGGAAATGGACTGAGTGCCCGGCACCAGGTCAATACCAAAATCAATGTCCCTGTCCGGCGGCATGCCCGGCAGGTCTGCAGGAAACACATCTGAAAACTCCCTCACAACCGGGACAGAATCAATGCTAGGAGTCTCGGCTCCAACATCCCTCACAAATGCCAAATATGAAAGACAACCCTTCCCAACCATACGCTGGGCCTTTAGGAATGAA